ATATCAACAATCAATGTAAAATTTTTTGTGTTTAGGTGCTTGCATTGTCACCTTTACATTCATTTAAACTTCTCATGATTATAACTTTTATTCTTTTTGTTGTACTGTTGTATATACATTAAGACTGAAAAGTTTTCGGAAATTCTCATTTAAAATTCGCGCGCTGTATATTTTTCGATATTTTAAGTTTATGTAGTTTGGCAGCACTGTCCTTAATTACTATGCCAAAAATGAGCTCGATCTGTCAGACAGTTCGTTTACGGCAGCTGTTGAAACCAGTTCACCTCAGTAGTGCGTTGCGAAATGTCTTCGACGGTCGTACGACCGTCCTGGAAGGCTTTGTACCACTCATAAACTTGAGTTTTCGATAAAACTGATTCCCCATAAGCCTTTTGTAGCATTCGCAACGATTCTGCACACGAAATTTCGTTCGAAACACAAAATTTGATGCAAACTCTTTGTTCAATATTTTTTTCCATTGTTTTTTTCGCAACGCCCTACTGAGGTGAACTGGTTTCAACAGCTGCCGTAAACGAACTGTCTGACAGATCGCGCTCATTTTTGGCATAGTAATTAAGGACAGTGCTGCCAAACTACATAAACTTAAAATATCGAAAAATATACAGCGCGCGAATTTTAAATGAGAATTTCCGAAAACTTTTCGGTCTTAATGTATAGTCTTTATAGTGGCTTATAGAAACATACATCTGATAATATTGACTTTTAATACCATATTTTATGAACAGTTTATTATACTATATGTAGTAAAATTTTGTTATATGCTAATTAATTAATTACTATATTCATTTGTAGAAAAACATTCGTTCCAAATGTGGGGATAGTAATGTAATAGGTTCAAGTGTTATTTGTTCAAGAGAATTTATAGAGCGCGTTCTCCAATTTAAAGCTACGAAGAATAGATTCAACGTTTAAAAATCGATGATTTTAGTATACATATTAACATCATAAACATCTTATATTAATTTGATGTATATTAACATCTGTATTAACACACTTTCTGTCGCTGATGATACTGTGGTATACTCAGCCGTCGTCCAGGGGTCGTTGCAATAGAATTTTTACTTTGGAAGTCAAAGACAATGTGATGTAGTAATTCAATTATTTATTTAGGAGAATTTAAAATAAAATAAGGTTGTACAATCTAATATAATTATAATATAATGCTGGTTTGCTAATTTGATGACTACGGATATTTGGAATAATTGTGCTTCGATGATTGTTCCGATCGTTGTTTCCACGTGCCTGAAATGTTGTTGTCAGACGACAGTACTTGTGCTAATCTTGGTGTTTTGTCAGAAGACGTCGTTAACTGGAGATTAGAAGTGTTATGCTGGGTTACAGCCTTGGTTAGCATTCATTAATGTTAGGACGTATTACTACCCTAACTCAAACCTACAGAAAATCCTACTAGCCAAGATGTATCATGACTACCTTGGCTTGATTTACATATAAGACTACATATACAATCTACTTGTCAAGACGTATATACTACCTTGACGCTATAGTTCTACTGACTTGTTTCACAAAGATGTATTACTACCTTTGAGAGTTTCCCAACAAGTGCCCCTGCTTGTACAATGCGCGTTTATTTATACTCAAATGACCGAAGCTTTTCCTGTAGCGCATCGGTACATTTTCCGTTGGTATTTTTGATACTTGTTGTCTTTTGCTGCTGTTGTTCGCCTTAGTATAATTTCTGTGCTTTGTGTTTTCGTGTGTTCTTGAATTCGCCGTGCTTTGTTTTTAGTTCAACCAAAGCTTTCATGTTTTGTCTTGTTTACAAACGTGTTGTTTTTTTTTATATAGTGCCGGTGTGTGTGGTTTATTATTTATTAATAAATTTATTTATTTATAAATATTTATTAATAAATAAATAAATATTACAAATATTAAAAGTATTAATATAAATAATAAATAAGGTGAGTGTATTATTTATTTGTTTAAATATATTTTATATTACTTGCATTTTCAATGTAATCTTAGGTTTGTTCATTTGGTGCAATTACGTGCATGCGGGGGAGGGTTTATGGTAAGTTGTTTACGTTTTAAATTAACAATAAAAATTAACCAGTTTTCATTGTAGATATTAACTCCAAACTGATCGTATGTAGGTTGGAAATTAGTCAAAATTTCCATCCTTACACATCATCGCCGGAATACACCTTTAATCATTAAGAAATCGTTATCATTCGTATCATAATATCACTGAATTTAAGTAAATATCATATATTTTTATACAAGTGATTGTTTATAATCAACATTATTGATTCCTTTTTATCAGAGAAGTGAAAAACATTCAAACCTTAAATTTGATAAAATCAAAAATTGCTATAGGAATAATTAAATTTTAATCATGGCTATTTTTGCACTTTTACGCGAACAATAATTTTATAAATAATCTCGAAATCAAAACAAAATAGTTCTTATCTAATAAAATAAAGAGCAAATTTGGAAATATATAAAATCAAAAGTTGGAATACCTTTCAGAGTAGTTTATCACTCGTGCATTGAGTTTAAACAACAAAATGTTTTCAAAATCATTTTTCTGTCTCGTGGCGGTACTATTGTGTGCCCAGGCCGTTTTCGGAATAACCATAATCTCCAAATCGGAATGGGGTGGAAGAAATCCAACTAGCAAAAGTACTCTAGCTAGCGGCTTGTCTTATGCTGTTATTCATCATACCGAAGGATCCAGTTGTAGTACAAAAGCTGCCTGCATCCAACAAATGAAAAACATACAAAGCTATCATATGGATTCTTTGGGTTGGGCTGATATTGGTTACAATTTCTTGATTGGTGGTGATGGTAATATTTATGAAGGCCGCGGTTGGAATGTACTTGGTGCCCATGCATCTAACTGGAACTCAAAAAGTCTTGGCATCTCCTTAATGGGCAACTTTAACAGTAAGGATGAAATATATTTTAATATATATATTTAAATTTGAAATTTTCAAATTCCATTTCAGATTATTCACCCACTGCAGTTCAAATTTCTGCCGCTAAAGAATTATTAGCCTACGCTGTGACGAAGGGACAAATTACATCCGGCTACATTTTGTACGGACATCGTCAAGTTGGTTCAACTGATTGTCCTGGCACATATTTATACAGTGAGATCAAGTCATGGTCACACTGGAAGGCCTAAATTGATCTCATGACTTTTTAAATAAAAGCATATTAATAATGAACTTGTTCATATTTTATTTAAATATTGGGTTTTTAAATATAATATACTTCAATAATGGATATATTGCAATGATAATAGTGTCTAAAAATATTCTGCAGACTGTTAAAGAGCATATATATTTGTTTTTGTTAAATTGCCTAAAAGGAACAACGATTGAGGTTGGGGAACTTAAGTAAGACTACACATGTTCAGTTTCGTATCAAAATTTAAAATTAATTGAGCATTTGTGGTTCAGAATAATTACCATTGGTAGCAATATACACATTCCAAGATTCTTCCACGAATCTTCCGGGGTTATTTTTGAAATGGTTTTTATGTACTCGTACAAAATACTTTTAGTTTTAAAATAATGACATGAAGCCATATCTAATTTGGACGATGGTATTAACTCATGCTTAAATAAAATGGTTTTTACATCCTTCTTTAAGTTACCATAATTTTTAAGAGATCATATGTGGTTCCATCTGAACTATACTATCACACTCAAGTAATGTTTGGCTAAATAATTGGCTAAAAATTAAACCAAATATGACAAAACGAATTTCGCCGGTCAAATTAAAGACCAATTTTTTATAGAAATATAGCTAAATTAATTGGACTTTATTGGGCATCTTCCTTTTACTAGATACTTTCTTCAATATAACAGTACTCATGCAAAAAATTGCATCTATATAAGGTTTATAAAAATTTTAATTATGTTTGTATTTAAAATAAATTTTCATTAAGAAATATTTACGGAGAGAAACACGAAGTGGTACTATGTCTGGATCTTGTTTTAGTATCTTTTTTAGTAAAAAAATTTCCTACCTTTGTCGTAGAATAGATCTAAAGAAGATCTATTAGTCACTTAAACAATGCACTATATAGTGTTGTTTATAAACTGCTAGCTTCGTTGGGTTGTAGAACTTTCTTTACTGATGGCTGATATTACGTGACGGTTACTAAATCCTGTGCACAACTCAAACTTAAAACTACGTACTATTAGATATTAGTTTTGTTACAACTTGGATTGAGGACGATAAGGATTGCAGTGGCATTTTCCAAGTTCAATGTAATCAGACACATTGCTTTATGTACTAACGCTGTACATACTATTAGATAATTACCCATTGGATGGCTCAGGGCTCTGTTACAATTTGGATTAAGGACGACAGGGTTTGCGCTGGCATATACCAAGTTCAATGTTCCCAAGTGCTGGCGGAACTCCATTCCTCTCCACTTCTTCAAAACATTAAAGTACAGAGCCATTGAAGAAATGCTTTTCATGTATGGGTGAAGATGCTCTAAGCAATTTTTTTGTTTTAATGAAATTATAATGCATGTTATATTATTAGAAAAACGGAAGAGCTATGATATTAAATATCTGCTGACTATATTATAGTCAGCTGTGGCATAATCTATTTGTAATTAACTACTGGCAGAGCATTTTTTTTGAAAGTATACAAAGTCATTGGTCTATGTAGATAAGTCAAGCTAAGTGGCATGACCTATTTGTAATTGACTACTGGTCTATTTGTAATACTATCAATAAAAAGAAACTCCATGGTACATCAGACTTAAGAGCCGAGAGTGTCAAAGAGTATCAAAGACAGAGCGCTGAAATTGTAAGGTTCTGTGGAATTTCACTCTCGTAAATTAAATGCACTATATATTCCGTAAGGAAGATATGCTGGGCTTCAAAATATACTTGCAATTAATCATCTCAAAAAACTTATTGTCAGAATTTACCGGAACGCTTATTATAGTTGATAATCGAAATGATCACAAACACTATATAGTAAAAGTGCTTAAGATACTAACTGGAGTTTGATCGACCAAGGAAGAAGAAGAAAAAATACAATATTTGACTTTTTCGCTTAAATAGTATCTTTTTTATTAATATAAAATCCTTTATCTTTTTTTTAAAACATCTTACATGATTAACTAATTAGAGTAAAAAGGGATTGAAATCCTTCGCCTTCCCGTATAAGTATCCCATATAATCCCGTATAAGTAACCTAAAAGTTAATCAGAATAATGAAAATAATTTTTTTTTGTTTATATTAAAAAATATCATTATGTGACAAATAATCTAAAGTTGTTTTATCGAGGTGGGCAGTTATTTAACACGAGCCAATTTTTTTTTAATACAAAAATTTTAATTTTATTATTTATTACTTTCACTTTAAAAGAGGCTTTTTTTGATTATTTATTTCAATGTTTGCCAAAAATCATAAATAATTTTTATTGATAAAATTTTAATATATTTTAAAGCCAAGATATATTTTAAGTTGTAGAAATGGAATCACAAATTGAGTCACAATGTCTAGTTTAAAAATTATAGTAGATGATAATCAATGATAGGAGAAACTAACAGCAGTCATTCAAGCTTTTACTGATAGCTAATACTAGAGTATTAGCAATTTTACAAATATACCAGTAAATCAATAGTCACTAAAAAGTATCTATGATTATTAAACGAGATTACCACAGCATGTTATGTTATTAAACTAACTTCCGGAGGTAAGAAAGGTGCAACTTCAGAAAATGACTGCACTTTTATATTTACAGGTCGAAACATAGAAAAACAATTTTAATACTACATTCATATTCCATTCCTCTCAGTAATTTAGACTATTGATAATTTGTTTTAATCTCAGCCTATTAACTGGTTCTCTCTAACATTTTGCAATTCTGCTATTCTCATATTGTTAGAGTTCATCTTCAACTGATTCCCGTTAAACGGAACCGTAAACTGCCTTGATGGCTCCAGGCTAAGAAAGCCCGTTGAGATTAGTTTGACTGTCTATACTTATACACACTAGTATAGTATAATAATCCCGTATAATATGTCACAAAATCATAAAGTTGTAATAGAATAAATCTGTGATCGAATGCTGTGATTTCCTTTTTTAAACTAAATAGCTATAGATCTTATAATTATTGAAACAAAAACGGCAGATAATATAAGAATCTGAGCCTACATGATAGGAGGTATTTTAATAACCCAGTTTCAAAAATTTCTAATTATCTAAAGTCATGGTCATTTGCATATAAGTGCAGAGTAGTTTGCTTAAGATAGAAATTTGTTTAAAACTTGACATACTTTAGCTCTTATTTTTTAACGTTAATTTTCATTAGTGGACTCACGATCAAATTTATCCAAGATGATAGTTTGCTTGGATATTTCGGATAGTTCCGAAAAAAGTGTAAAGTAGATTTTCATTTTATCCGTTGATTGTTGTTTGGTTGCCTCCATGGTTTTGAACATCTTTTGATCCAAGTATCAAAGATATAATCAAATAAAGAAAACTGTGAAGCTCTCATTATCACAAACATAAACCAATCAGCAATCAAATAATTGCAGTTGCATGCTGCAAAAGCTGAAAAATATTAACTTGTGGTATTATATTTTATTAAAATTTATTCTAATTTATTAGTCTATAATAAAACTTCGAACTTGATACGCTCTTCTCATGTATTTAATATATGTATTGGAAGAAAAACAATTTTATCAACATATTAATTATGTCCATTCGGATGTATTGTAGGAGAAAATTGATTCCAAATATTACAAAATCCTCTCATCAACAATTATTTTCACTATCCAAAGTACTTTTGTTGTTTGCTCCGTATTATTTATGGAAGTGTTGTAAGATCAATAGTCGCAATGAATTTTGACTCTTTTAAATTTTGGCTCATCGTATGAAGATAAAAACTCTCCCCTATAATGATATTAAAATAACTAACTAATTTTTAAGGTCAATATGGCCTTATGATGCAAAAATTTGGGACTGCAAAAATTTGGGACTGCCTAAAATATTTTAATAACCCATGGTACGTTGGTAATAATCAAGAACTATAATGAATCTCAACAGTTGATAAAAAAAATAGAGCAGAAGCGGAAAGCGAAAGCGTTTTCACCAGCCAAATTGCGTCAAAAAAAGAAATCATTTGATCTCGCTGTCATTTAACTTTACCCCCACGAGAGAGGAGTTCGAATATTCCCGAAGTATGGCACGCTTATTGCAAGGGGCGACTAAAATTCAACTGGCACCACCTAATACCACCTGATGTATGGAGTACATATAGTAGTGAGTGAATTTCACTTGCGACTGGAGATGTAAATTTAGTACCACAGGGGTCAGGGCACACAGACTTGACTGTCCTCACCAATAGAAGTTGGATTCTGTTTCATTGGAGCCACAGCTACCACGAGCTATAGGTATATATAATAGATATATATAGGTATATATAATAATAGTGTAGTTTACTGTCATTCGATATAGAGTTGCAATTTCCAACCAGGTGCTGTAATCCAAAGTTAAATAGGCCTCGTTTCCTTCCAAGTAGAAAGCTATTTTCTAACATATAGCTTATATACCTAACATATAGGTAAAATTAAGCCCACAGCAATTACAAGATTTATAAATAGTCTAAAATTGTTATAGTTGGACCTTTAGGCGCACAATAGATCTTTTAGGTCGGGGTGCTTCAATAGCCTATAACTTAAATAATGACATATAGCTTCAAATGTTACCAGAGGAGTTTCTGTGAATTCCAAAAATGGCACTTATTGGTGCTTTATTCTTATACATGTGTTGAGAACATCGTGGTGTTAAGTCTTAATGGCAGGTAATCAAATTTAATCTATCATTTAACTTGAAATTGATTTAAAATTTCTTTATAAAAATATTTAATAGTTGCAGTTTTAACAAACATTGTTATGTACATATTTTAGCTAGAATTTGGCCAAGGAGGGAAATATAATATACATTTTCTTAGCAGTATACTATCTGTAGATTATATTATCAAAGGGAGAATACATACCCTAATCACCTCTGGATGCGTCATGAAAACTATTATATATTATTACATAAAATTCAATAGATTCAATTTTAGAAGTTAACTTGTGGATTATGATATACTCGTAGTTTCCTCGAAAAGTAAATACTTGTTTGAATTTATACAGACTAGCAGAAAGTCGAATAACCGGATCGGTAGAGAACATGACAGTCAGAC